AATGTAGATTTTTGCACAAATGGAAACATAAAACTTGGCTAAGTATAGAGAAGTATCCATTTGAGGGTATACGAATCAGTCACCCTTTATCGCTGCAGCTTAAGACTTAATTTGAAATAAGTAGTAATTGTAGTAAAACCTATGACTATAACAATGCTTGCCCTAAGGAAGGAGCCATTGACTGTTTTTGGTAATGGGAAGCAAACAAGGAGTTTCCATTATGTTTCGAATCTGGTATGAGATTTTCTATGCATCTCTCAAATTGCAATTGTTTTTCTTTATGTTGTCTTTATTTTATACTCTCTTTTTTTCGTTCTATTATTTTTTTGTCCTTTTTTTATGTTGATGTCTTACTTTTACTAACACTTGCATTTGGATATGTCAATTGCAAAGAAAGATTATGTTTCTCTATTCGCATATTCACTGTTTTGGACTTACATTGACAATGAAATAGCAAATAGGGGGATTGATGGGTCTTTCATTAAATAATTGTAGGTGTGAACAGTGACATCCCATTACTCTAGTTGAGGGTTGAATTTGAATCCATGATTCCACAGTGACATCCCATGACAAGATGAATAGTGTAAAGATAATTTATATTCTTCTTGTTATTTGGAGTTTTGCCACTTGTATGTATCAGAATTATCCTGATGATCTGAACGTTAAGAAAGCACAAACTGATCTTAATGTGATGTGAAATGATTCTTTTTGTTGACGATTTTGTGCTATATTGTTGGGAAGAATACCTAGTGCCTGTTTGGATTATCTTCCAAAACGTTGCTTTTGCTTTTTGAGCTCAAAAGCCATTTTGGGTAGCGATTTGATTATTGTTTATTCCTTCTTCTTCTTCTTCTTCTTCTTCTTATTTTAATTGTAATATCACAATAGTGCCCGGTACAAATTTACACTTTTTAGTCTTCTGTATGTTCAATCAAAATTATTTTAGTATTTCTTTGATCGCAAGGTTGCTAGTGGGTAATTGATAGATTAATTGATTCATAGTGGTTATGGCATTGCTGGACACTAACCTTAGCTTTATTGATTTCTGACACCTTATTGTTTTGCTCTAATTTTGCAGCATGAGCATTAATGGTTAGGAAGTGATGATTCCTCTCGTATTTTATGGGGTAACTATATCTGAATGACCACCTCTTGTTATCTTCTTTGGAATCTAGAATGTTTTTTTTTTGATGGTCCAATTGCAATCATATACTAGAATGAAAATCAAAATCTTCTATATAATTGTAATCAACCCTACTGTACCCATATACTAAAAAGAAAACTGAAATCTGCTATACAATTATATGTTATGCTTCAAACTCTCTCTGTAAAACAAAAGGTCTTAGAAATGATAACATTTCAGAAAGTCATTATAGATACTGAGAAAAGTCCTCACTTTGTATGTAGTATAGTATTCAAGGGTACTCTTCCCTAGGTTATGCATGTATTTCCATCAAGGTTGCAATTAAGATGGCTAGTACCCGTCATCTTTGGTAGCACAGCTGCGAGCTTGCAACTAGGATGCTTCAGAAAGTCAGCTGGTTTTGTCTGTGGTTATGATCATTGAGACCGGTCCAATTAGCCTGCTCTGTTTTTTGTGGGGTCACTGCTGCATATGTTGGACATTCATTAGTTATATAGCTTGCATAACAGTGAACAAAGCCTGCTGCCTTTGTATTTCACCTAACATCTCCCGCCCCTTTTTGTATGTTTGTAACTGTAATAAATTCAATCTTTTATTTTAAGTGATGCAGAAGATGTATATGTGTTAAGTGCCAAGTATATTTAAATGTGGCATCAAACTATTAGCATTTCAATTTGGATCAATTATTGGATTTGGGTTTTCCAAGCCACGGTCATTGTCATTCCTTACTGTCATATTGTCATAGCCAATATCCCCGTCCTGGTTCAGGTTTTTGACATAAAACTTAAAGCAGTAAAAAATATTCTCAAAGCTATACAATTCTTCGGCATGATCTTCATTTATGGCAATGCATGGTTAACTAATTTGTTATGTAGATCTTTGTATATATAGATTTATGTATGGAAAATCTTCAGATAAGCACAAAGACCAGTTACCTTTATTGAAAGTGGTTGTTGCAGCTTTGTATCTGGAGAGCACTACATGTTGCAGATCAGAAATAGAACCTGAGGCAATGGAGTAGGTGGTGTGCCCAGTTGATGAATATATTTTGGTTGAATTGTTTAACGAGTATTCATTTTGGTTAAAGAACATTCAATGTCTCTTGCAATCATACTCTGGGGATGTCTTTTCTGTTCCATAGATCTGAATCCTTTCTCAAATATGTAAATTCTTAAGCATTGTACATTTTTTTTGTTGCTTATGGTGCTCTAAGCTTGATCTTCATTTATGGCAATGCATGGTAGTTACTGTTGTGGAGATGAGCTCATGGTTGTTTATGCCGTTTCAATAGTATGCTTTAGATATTAACTCGTAAATGCTGTTTCCCGGAAATGGTCTACTTGGCAGGAGGATATGAATATTGTAGACTACCTTGTTGTCATGAAATGTCTTCTAATGCAGCTATCCTCGAGTTTTTACAGTTTATCCTAATAGTGTTCCTGATTGCCATTTCCATGTTTGTGAACTCCGTAAGCACTAGGAAACATACTATACTAGGGTAGGGGACATGTTGCTGTGTTCCTCTGTTTCCATGGCGTTTCTTCTAGTGCAATGTGGTAAATGCATCTTCCTCACGGAGTCTCTGTGATGCTCCGAGGGGCCTCCAATGGAGGAACCAAAGTTTTAGTCGCAACTTTGACTGATAATTTGGACCCAACTCAAATGTGGAGAACCATGTATCATCATCCCGTGGTTTATGAACGTCGTTTTGATTTTCCAAAATTATAGATTGAATTACAAGACTCTTCTCAATTCTCGCTCTCATTGAGCTTTAAAGGAAAAGTAATCGTGTTACTCCTATGAAACCTTTACCTTTCCGGTTTACAAAATTTCGTTTATATATATTCCATGTATTTTCCTTTCAAGCTTATAAACTTGGCTCTTAATTGCCTTGCATGTGCTTCTAATAGTGTAAGCTTGTATTTCTTAGTTCATTTTCTTTTCATTTTCGCTGTAAACCTTGTAACACTGGATTCCCAATGATCTTAGCTATTCGACTCAAGTCACTCAATTAGTCGTCGTAGTGGTTTTTGTCAAATCAAAACATTGTCTCGAAACAGACAAGACAGGTTAAAAAGCACTTGATTGTCTTCATAATCTAACTCAAATTCAAACCTATCAGATCAATCGTACGTTCAATGACCCCATCACATCTGTATCAGCTGAAGACAATACATGAATGGACAATATATTTTCATCAACTCTCAACTTCACCCTACATTTGGTGTTCATTTACGCATGAACAGTAGTTCAGCATTATAAATAGAACTCATTTACGGAAGGAAAAGGGATCGTGTTACTCCTATAAAACCTTTACTTTTCGTGTTTACAAAACTTCATTTATGTTCCATGTATTTTCCTTTCAAGCTTGTAAACTTGGCTCTTAATTGCCTTTCATGTGCTTCTAATAGTGTAAGCTTGTATTTCTTCGTTCATTTTCTTTTCGTTTTCGCTGTTAACCTTGTAACACTTGAATTATTAGGTTTCTTTACTCCATGAAATTTATAACCAGTTGCTATATATGACCCAAACACTTGTACCCACCAAAGATTTGTAACCTCCTTGGACTACTATTAGTCAATGAAGTATAGCATGTTACATGTTAATTAAAAGGTACTAGTTTGTTGCATTTTATTTTGTTTTGGCTTACGAGACGTGAACAAATGTCAACCAATACTTTTTTTTACCTCAAAAATCAAAGATTGATTGAATTAGTATTAAAGTTTAATGACCATTGATAGGTCTTTAATTGCAAGCATGAAGATTTTAGACATATATAATAAGATACATAAGCTTAAATATGAAACAAAGAAGATAGTAAGCAAAATTAAGAAAGATGAGCATTGGTCTGGGTTGGAACAAGGTGAAATTAGGGCATTTTGAGAGACCAAGCGTCGGTTTTGTCAGCCATTATGGCAATTTGAGCAGCAAGCTTTTAGTGGAGTAAAAACTATAATGGATGTGGAGCTACAGGGTGTTTTGATGAAAGGAGTGGGAAATTGTGTCTGCGGGAAATATTTTTACTTAATGGAAAAAATCCCTTTAAAAGTATAATTTTTGCCTTTATTAGCGAGACGATTTTATTCTGTTAAAGTTGGACAAATACGAAAAATATTTATTTACGAGAACTCTATTAAAATCCCGTGAAAGTGTGATTCTTTATGAATGTATGCGTTTTATTTTATGTGTTTTTTTTGTTTTTTTGTCATTGTAAGAGTGTTTTTACAGGGGAAAAAAAAAACATTTGGTAAAAAAGTTTTTTTTTTTGTACAGTATTAAAAGGTTTCATGAATTCAATATGATGTTTTTACATGTTTTTATCCTATACCAACAGATACTATAACAATGAACAATCTAAAAAAAAAAATTAAAAACTTATAACATTTTTTTCCAAATATATATTTATATTTCTGCTTCCATAATTTTTACAAGATCTAAAACATTATCAAATATACTTTTCTTACTATTCAAAATACTCGCTCATTATTTTGTTAAGGATTAAAACAAAAACAAAATAAACAAAACACCTATCAGTCCTAAAACAATTAAGAAAAAAAAGAAAGAAAAAAAATTATATTTGATCAACAGTGGTTACGTGGTGAACGGTGATGATGCCGGGTATTCTGGTTCAGGACGCATGCGTAAGCCCACACACAAGCTAGACAGGAGGCCCGTCCCAAGCGTCTTAGCCTCACCGCGTCGCGGGAGTAATACTACCATGTAACCGCTCAAACGTGAGCTCTTTTATTAAACAACAGTTTCTTAAGATATTTGAATAGTCAAATAAATCAGTGGTTAAAAAAGGTAGAGCTGATCATTTGACGAGGACCAGACTCCTACGGTAGTATTTCTCAATTGGACCTTAAAAAGCGTGGTTAGTTTAGGGACTCTTTTGAATCTCGAGAGTCGAAAACAATGCCCGCGAAAGTCGTCCTTCGCACTGGAAACTACTCGTCTGAAACTCCACTCATCGCCGGAGCTGGTGAACGTGACCGGCGAAAAGCTTGGAAAAAATGGGAGCTGCTTGTTAGGAATTTGAGTCTGGTGACGGTAAACTTCTCATTGATCGGATTTTACGTTGTCTTCAGGAGTTCGAAGCTGAATCACCACATAGGGTTCCACTCGATATGGCTTGCGGTCCTGCTTTTCATCGTCCATCTCGCTGTCACTGTAATTCTCCGCATGAGGCGACCCTTTCGCTCCCTCGGATTTTTCTCCGGCGTGATCCTCAAGTCCATCACTGACCTTCTCACCGTGTTTTTCACCGGGTTATTGACATCTCAGGTAACTCGGTCAAGACCTCACTACTTCTCTCCTTCTCCTGGAGTCGATTACTTTCTCTTCAACTGCACCGGTCCTTTAGGCGTTTCATCCCTGGCTGAACTGAGCTCCACTGGGGAGCAAATTTTAGTTCCATCATCCTTCCTCGCAACATTGAACCCTAACGCTAACCCTAACCCTAACCTACTTGACTTGATCTTAGCTGGGTGTAGCCAGCCGATTTTAGTTCCACCATCCTCTCTCCAAACATTGATCACTGAACCTAACCCTAACCCTAACCCTAACCCTAACCCTAACCCTAACCTACTTGACTGGCAGATCGTTGTGGCACTGGCTCTAGTGGCTCTGTATTCCCTGACCATGGCCACCCTTCTCCGCCCCGGGCTGTCGTTTACCCTAACCCCTGTATCACTCTATATCTCCTTCTTTTTCTTATTTGCTCTCCACGCGGATTCGGAGTTCCCCCGCTTTTATTTTGGGCCTTTATCCATCTACTCCATTCTCTTGATTGGTATCAAAAATTATATTGAGTATCGTGCCGACGATGCTCCAGACACACAGACTCTGGCACAGAGATGTGAGTTAAGTGAGATATTGGTATTTAGTTGTTAGTATCCTCTATTGTTAAATTATCTTCAAATTTTGTGTTGAATTTCAGCTTCTGTGCGAAGGACCGCGTTGCGCGCACAGAGACAGCTCCAAGGTGAGATGTTCTGTAAACTATGGTAAAGTTGTTCCTCTAATTGGATGTGGATTGTTAATGTTTAATGATAAGTGCATTGCATTCCCTAATCATATTCGAGAATACATTTATGTTTAATATATGTTTGTCACCTCAAGCAGTTTGATCTGCCAGTTCTCTTCTACTTGTAATTTTGTTTAATGAGAAATGTTTATTGTTTCTGTTCTTTGCTGGTGGCAAACAAAGTATAGATATTACAGTCAGCATATTGTGGTTACCAAAGTCTTAAAAGGAATGGAGGACAATTGAAAGGATATTAATAATGTTGATTTTTGCACAAATGGAAACATAAAACTTGGCTAAGTATAGAGAAGTAGCCATTTGACATTATACCGATCTGTCTTCATTTTTTTTGCCTGTGGTTTCACCGAGTATCACTGCATCTTAAGACTTAATTTGAAATAAGTATTGATAGTAGTAAAAACTATGACTATAACAATGCATGCCCTAAGAAAGGAGTCATTGACTGTTTGTGGTGATGGGAAGCAAACAAGGAGTTTCCAATATGTTTCAGATCTGGTATGAGATTTTCTATGCAGCTCTCAAATTGCAATTGTTTTTCTTTATGTGGTCTCTATTTTATAATCTCTTTCCTTTTCTTTCTTTTTTTCTTTTTTTGGGTTCTTTTTCTATGTTGATCTCTTACTTCTACTAACATTTTATAATGGCAATATTGCCCTCATATTTCTGACCAAAAAAATAAAGAATTCCACCCCTATCCCACATTCATAATCGTTCTTCCTTCTTCACCACGGTCTCCTCTCCTCCACATAATCACTCGGGTGCTCCCTCTCCTTATTCACCCATCTCTCTTCCCGCTCTGCAAATGCTAGACTCTTCATTTTACCCATTTCTTATATAGAGAAACTAGAGAGCGAAAAAAAAAAGTGTATATATATATATATATATATATAGAGAGAGAGAGAGAGAGAGAAACTAGAGATAAAATATAGAAGTCAAGAAGTTAGGGCTGGGTATGCTATACTGTTTTATTTTTGGTTGTGGAGGTTAAGAGGAACAGGTTCTGTGTTCTGATAGTTGAAGTTATATTCAATTTGAAGTTTGGTTTGTTGAATTAGGGTTTTGGAATTGCTGATTTGTTTGTCACATTTGGATGTTTGTCTCATGCATCATCTGTCAATTGCCAACCTCAAAATTTACTCGGCATAGCAAGACTAAAGTCCATTGGGCAGTGTATGAATTCTGTTGAATTTCTAATTTCTTTCTCATATAACATATCCAATATCCAATATATATATATATATATTTATGGGTAAAGTGCAAATAACCCCCTCACTATATACCTGAAAGTATATGAACATATATACCTACAGAACTGATTTTTGGTTTTCTAAAAAAATAAAAGAGGAACAAACTGAATTGAATTCAACATTAACCTCACATCTGTTTTCTGTTGTTTCCCTTACTTTCCTAGTTCCTCACCAACCAACAAAACCAAATTTTAGTCTAATTCCGTTCACTGCTCTGGGCCACGCTTAACAAAATACACGTGCGAACACGTACACTGACTTTGTGTCTCAAACCCTTGTTCAATTGTGAATAAATTTTTAATTGTGTTTCAATTTGCTGCTCGTCCTTGCGTTGGATCGTCATTGCAATTCTTCATCCCATTCACATGAACCATGCTTCAGCAGAACTCCAGAGCCTTTGTACATCCTGAACTCCAACGCCAACTCCACCAATTCATTTTCGGAGGAGATGAAGTTTGATCAACAGTGCTCAACAAACCCACTTTGTCACTTAGTCTTTGTTTCTGCCATGGTCACCGCCAGTCCTTTGGCATTCACTAAGTTTCCAAAGCTCATAAAATGTATATGACAGAGAGTTAGAAGATAGAAGACTGTTGGGTGTTTCTATTTTTATTTTGCCTTAGGGGCATTTTAGGTATTTCAGTGTTCAAATTGAGGAAATATCCTTATTTGCTCAATTTGGAAAATGTAGGGAGGTTTTTTGAACACCGGGGGTATACGCACATTTTTTTATAGCAGGGTTTATTTTTTTGCTCTTCTACTTGTAATTTTATTTTTGTTCTCATGTAACTGAACGAAACTGGTTTTACATTACAATGAGAGATTTAATTATATGTAAATCAGTAATTCAGTATATTTCGTAGACCTCAATTGCTGTACTAATTGTTCTATTAAATTCAGACACTAAGATATAGTTAGTTACTTACCAAATGCACTGCTTCAGTACTTCATTAGCATTTCAACCATACAATGCATGATCCAATATCAACTACACAATATTGCTAGGCAATATTTTTCATAAAACAGAAAAAAAATAAATAAATAAATAAATTCGAACAGAATTTGTTTGGTGATGCTCAGAGTATTTTCCCAACCCTTTTTCTTTTAAACTCCCCATTTGTTTTTAGCAATTTCATAGACAAGACAGCGCAGAGTACACCTCAATATTCTCTTCTGCATTCTATAACTTGATTGAGAATCCTAAATACTTCTATTATATATGCCCCTGAACTTTAATTTATTTGTTATATCCTAAATACGTCCATCATATATGCTACTGAATTTTTATTTATATATTATATTTTTATCTTTTGGGGAAAATTGCTGAATTTGTTTTAGTGAAGTATTTGATTCTTGTGCTCCAGATAGTGGGGAGCTGAGGGAATTAGGGAGAAATGTTTATTCTTTCTTTTCTTTTCTTGTGGCAAACAAAGTATAAATTTTACAGTCAACATATTGTGGTTACCAAAGTCATAAAAGGAATGGAGGATAATTGAAAGGATATCAATAGATGTAAATTTTTGCACAAATAGAAACATAAAACTTGGCTAAGTATAGAGAAGTAGCCATTTGACGTCATATGAATCCGTCTTCATTTTTTGAGCCTGTGGTTTCACCCTTTATCGCTTCATCTTAAACTTAATTTGAAATAAGTAGTAAGTAGTGATAGTAGTAAAAACTATAACAATGCATGCCCTGAGGAAGGGGCCATTGATTGTTTTTTGTGGTGACGGGAAGCAAACAAGGAGCTTCCAATATGTTTCAAATCTGGTATGAGATTTTCTATGCATCTCTCAAATTGCAATTGTTTTTCTTTTTGAGGTCTTTATTTTATACTCTTATTATTTTATTTTATTTTTCCTTTTTCTATGTTGATCTCATACTTTTACTAGCATTTGAATTTGGATATGTCAATTGTAAAGAAAGATTATGTTTCTCTATTCGCATATTCACTGTTTTGGACTTACGTTGACAATGAAATAGCAAATAGGGGGATTGATGGGTCTTTCATTAAAGAATTGTAGGTGTGAACAGTGATAGTCTTCCATGACAAGATGAATAGTGTAAAGATGATTTCTTTTCTTTTTGCTGTTTGGAGTTTCACCAATTTTATGTATTAGGATTCTCTTGATGATCTGAAGGCTAAGAAAGCACAAACTGATCTTAATGTGACACGAAATGATTCTTTTATTGATGATTTTGTGCTATTGGGTTAGGAAGAACGCTTGAGAGTCTTATGGTCTTGTACTCTTAATTGTAATCAGTGGCATTACCACAATAGTGCCCTGTACAGATTTATAGTTTTTAGTTGTCTGTATGTTCAATCAAATTATTTTGTTAGTTCGTTGATCACATGGTTCCTAGTGGGTAATTGATCGATTAATTGGTTCATAGTGGTTATGGCATTGCTGGACACTAACCTTAGCTTTATTTCTTTCCTTTTATTTTTTTTCTGACTCCTTGTCTTCTTCTTCTTTAATTGTAATCAGTTATCGCAATAGTGCCCTGTACAGATTTATAGTTTTTAGTTCTCTGTATGTTCAATCAAAATTATTATATTACTTCTTTGATCACATGATTCCTACTGGGTAATTGATTGATTAGTTGGTTCATAGTGATTATGGCATTGCTGAACACTAACCTAGGCTTTATTTTTTTTCCTTTTATTGATTTCTGAATCCTTATTGTTTTGCTCTAATTTGGCAGCATGAGCATTAATGGCTGGGAAATGATGATTCCTCTCGCATTTTTTGGGGTAACTATATATGAATGACCACCTCTTATTATCTTCTTTGGAATCTAGAAATTTTTTATTAATGATCCAATTCCAATCATATACTAAAAAGAAAATCGAAATCTTCCATACAATTGTAATCAGTCCAATTGCACCCATATGCTAAAAAGAAAACTGAAATCTGCTATACAATTATATGTTATGCTTCAAACTGTGTTTGTAAAACAAAAGGTCTGAGAAATGGTAACATTTCAGAAAGTCATCATAAATACTGAGAAGAGTCTTCACTTTGTATGTAGAAATTAGTGTATAGCATTCAATGGTACTCTAGCCTAGGTTATGCATGTATTTCCAGCAAGGTTGCAATTAAGATGGCAAATACCCATCATCGTTGGTAGCACAGCTGCGAGGTTGCAACTAGGATGCTTCAGAAAGTCAGCTGGTTTTGTCTGTGGTTATGATCATTGAGACCAGTCCAATGAGCCTGCTCGGTTTTGTAGGGGGTCACTCCCGATTATGTTGTACATTGTTTAATCAAACTACCCTAAGGTTTGATTGACTTTACTCTCTATACCCCTGCAGTCAATTTCTTGTTACGCCAGTTAAAGTCAAGAAAAAAAATTCACCAAAATGCCAAAACTACCCTTGTTGGTAGCAGAACATTGTTTGTTTCTCTCTCTCCTCTGTACATGCCTCTTTCACTTTCCTCTCTCTTCCTCTACTTTTCTCTCTTTCTTTTCCCTCTCTATGTAATTATTTACATCATTACATCTTTCTGAATATATTGGCATCTTCACTCTATAATATTAGCACCAAATCTAACGCGCCATAACACGCATATATATTTATAAATGTCAAAAACGAATGAAAATCAAAAAAAAAAAAAACTATTTTATCTCTGAATATATCGCCATCTTCACACGGTTGTATATATATAACAAATGAAAATCGAAATAATTTTTTTTGATTTTTTTTTCTTTTCAAATCCATAGGTTTGATTGACTTAGAACAATCCTATATAATTATGTTTGATAATATATATCAATATATATATCACAACATTTGGCCTGATTCAACAACTCAGTGAATCATGGCATTTGGCTTGACTCAACAAATCAGTGGATGAACCCACTATCACATCATTTGGATTGATATAACGATGATTCAAACCCAGTTTCACAAAAAAGAAGATTCAACCCTAATTTCACAAGAAGAAGATTGAGACTGTTCTCACCATCGCCGCCTTCTTCCCGACCACAACTCGAGATCAATCTCAATGGCAGCCAAAAACCTTCTTGTCCTTTCACTGGTGAAGCATGGTGGCGGCGCAAGGGCATGTGTGTATTTTCTTCTATGTGTACTGGGGTGTATGTATGCACTTGTGCTGGTGTGTGTGCTGGTGGAGGTAGATAGAGAGAGATGGTGCGACTGTGGAAACTGGAGGGGGGTGGAGAGAGATGAATAATATTAAATTGTATTAAATTTGAAAGTATTTTAGTAATTAACCTGGTAAGATGAGGGCATTCAAGTAAATGCATACAAAATTTTAGTTCAAGTAACAGGTCGCTTGTTTGATAGGGGTGTCGGAATAATTCTGCAAAAACTTTAATTTGAGGGTAATTAGATTAAACCTCAAGGGAGGTGAGAGTAATTTACCCTAAATTGAATCTTTTTATTTTAAGTGACGCAGAAGATGTATATGTGTTAAGTGCCAAGTATATTTAAATGTGGCATTAAACTATTAGCATTTCAATTTGGATCAATTTTTGGCTTTGGGTTTCCCAAGTGACGGTCATTGTCATTCCTTAATTTCACCTTCCAGGTTCAGGTTTTTAACTATAAACTTAAAGCAGTACATAATATTCTCTATGCTATACAATTCTTCTGCATGTTTTGTCTGGTAAGTTGAGCATTCGGCTTTATTTATGTCTTCGTTAAATCATCTGCCATGTAGGTCTTTGTATATATAGATTTATGTATGGAAAATCTTTAGATAAGCTCAAAGACCAGTTACCCTTGATTGAAATTGGTTGTTACAGCTTTGTATCTGGAGAGCTGACAGGTTGCAGATCAGAAGTGGAACCTTGGGCAATGGAGTTGGTGGTGTACCCAGTTGATGAACATTTTTTGGTTGAATTGTTTCATGAGTGTGCATTTTGGTTTTAAAGAACATACAATGTGAATAGCAATCATACTCTTTGGATGTCTTTTATGTTCCATGGAATTTCTGAATCCTCTCTCTTGTATATAAATACTTGAGCATTCCACATTTACTTTGTGGTTTATGGGGGTCTAAACTTGATCATCTTCATATATGGCAATGCACGACAGTTACTGTTGTGGAGGTGAGCTCATGGTGTTTTTATTCTGTTTCAATAGTATGCTTTAGATATTAACTCATAAATGTTGTTTCCGGGAAATAGTCTACTTCGCAGGAGGATATGAAATATAAGAATTGCTTGTTTTCATGAGATGTCTTCTAATGCAGCTCTCTTTGAGGTTTTGCAGTTGTATCAAATAGTGGTCCTCCTAATTGCCATTTCCTTGTCTGTGAACTCCAAAAGGCATTAGGAGACATGTTGCTGTGTCTCCTCTGTTTCCACGGCGTTCCTTCTCATGCATTGTGGTAAATCCATGTTTCTTGGATGTGTTAAGAGTACATGTGGACGACGAGTTGCAAGTCAACACCTCAAATGTGGAGGTCTATGTATCATCATCGTGGTTTATGAATGTTGTTTTGATTTCTCACTATTATATATTGGGAAATCACAAGACTCACTCTCTCATTGAGCTTAACAGTTGTTGCTGAGTTGTTTTGGTGTCCGCCCATTCCATTTTTGGCCATTCATTATTTGCCACAAAGCTTGACGTGCTGTACAATAGTGGAAGCGTCCAGTACCAAATCGAAATGTACAACGAGTGCTAGTTTTTTTAACCATGGGCTTCTTGAGACACAGATTTAAGTAGATCTCACAACTTGACGCCTCCGGGCCTTGAGGGATTGGATCTGGTTCTGATATTAACTGTAACGGGTCAAGTGTTTCGCGATCTGATCCAAAAACTTAATCTATTAGGTAAGGTTAATACTTAATCCATATATACTCATTAACTTGACCATTCAAATCCAACTTGGGATATATGTAATAGCTCCCCTCTAGAAAGAAAGTACCATTTACAGTAAATAAATACCCTATGTACTTCTTACAGAAAATAACCTAACATGTGGAACGCATTTAAGATATGAATTAAAGTGTATTTTGCTTAAATAGTTTCAATGATTTTGTATAATTCTTGCCATGCTTGCATCCAAATTGGACATTTGGCCCAAGGGGTACTATTAGGGACAGATCCAGGAACTCGTGGGAGGGGGGCAAAAGTGAATTTAATGTAATTTTTTTATAATTTAAAGGGGGGCAAAGTGAAATTTTTATATATTTTAAAGAAAATAATTAATTTTTTTATCATGAATTGATGAGTTGTAAGTGAATTTATCATAAGCTTTTTCTATTTCTAGGTCTATGAAAATCATATAAAACATTACAAGCCCAAAGACCACTTATCGCAATTCACCATTTTATTAACATATTTATGTAAATGAAAATAAGAATTGAACAAGAAAGGTTTATTGCAATTCGCCCTTTTCATTGATATCTTTTATGAAAATGATGGGAGGCACACTTCACTTTTCAAAGTTTGCACCACAATATTAAATAAAATGATAATTTTAACTTTAATTTTACAATTAAATAATTATTACTTTTAAAATGACACAACTGCACTTTCAGATTACTTTTTTTTTAACTATACCAATATATATGTTGAATAAATTGTCTCTTTTGACTAAACCAAAAATTTAAAAAGTAACCATTAAAATAATAATCTCTTTTGACATGAAAATAAATAAATATATATATATATATATATATATATATATATATTTATTGAAGAAATTATCTCTTTTGTCAAGATCAAAAAATTAAAAATAATAAATAATAAAAAAAGGTATGAAAGAAGAGGATTAAAAAATATATATATTTCTATTGAATAAATTATCTCTTTTGATAAGTGTAACGACTCAAATCCAGGGGATTCGGATCACTAATCGAGTCCTAACCCGAGGCGAGGTCACACAAAGGTAAAGGGGTCATTTCAAGTAAAAAAAATGGGAAAATAGCTGACTATAAGAAGTTAAGTAGGGCTCTCTAGCATCACAGTAGACAATTTAATTCATTCCATAAGTTTTCAATGGCCATAGGTATGGTTTCCCACGCATTACCCACTCTTGGTTTGAAGGATTCTCCGACACCTCTTCACTAAAACAGCTATAACTCTCAATGTGATTGGAATTTGAGGATGATATTGATATCATTGGAAAGCTGACTTCGAACCGGTCACTTTAGACTCAAGAACGACCCAATTTGGGTTTGAAACCTGGGAGTTATGGCTATTTGAAGTTTGGGTTAACAACTAGTGGGCAGGTAAGAGTGCTCGATTGATCGAGCCTAACTCGATCGATTGAGTCCAACCTCGAACGATGGGGCTGAGAGCATGAAATTTGAGGTTTTCTCAAATTTTTCTAAGTATGAAAGGCTTCGATCAATCGAGAGGAAGGCTTCGATCAATCGATCGATCGAGTAACCAAAAAAATGGTCAATTTGGTCTCTTGGGAAGCTTTGGTTGGTTCCTACATTGAAATTTAAGATAGATGACACTTCCATACACTTAAAACCTATCCCAAAGCAATCATAAAAAATATAGATACACTCTTAAAACATCATCCATACGTTATAATGGTTTAACATACATTATTAAATTGCACATCGTCCCAAAACTTCAAGGTGAAAACGTAATTGTCATCCCCAATATCACTTACATGCCCAAATTATACAAATAACATCCTAAAAGAATAAGTTTACAAGTTAGAGACCCTTAAGAAGTAGATAAAACTAATCATTGATTACAAAAATACTACAAAAAGTGATTCTATCAGCGTCATCTACCCTTAGGAAGATCCTTCGTCAACCACGTCATTGCCATAACCTGAAAGTATTAATAGAAGGGGTGAGCATGGAGGCTCCGTAGAAGATGCCTAAGGCGCTAACTTTGGACTCTCAACCTTGGTCTTAACCAATTCCAAACGTGGCCTTTACTTGCTCTAATTTCCACCTACGATAACCGACTTTATCGAGATGAAATTGATACTATCCCTGGTTCTAAATCCGATAATCATTTGGGGTATAGTATTAACGTTACATGTCCTACACCGAACCACGCTCCCTCTAGGTCAAGTTGGCACCGGACTCGCGATACCCGATCCATTTCTAAGTTCCATTTTCCCGCAAATTCTAAGATGGCCTAATTCATCAAGTGTCACTTGGCCTTCCTTGTGCGAAGTGTCAACCTCACATGGTTACTACCTTAAGCAAACTTACCACATTGCCCTCCCTCTTCTATCATAATGCCATGCTTGTCCCTAAAATATCTCATCTAATGTATAGATACATGTGTATATATGTGTGAAAAGACCACAATGCCCCTCAATGCAAATGGCACAACCGGGAGAAGTTCTTGAGCCCGAAAATTGTCCCGACTTCCGAAAAATTCTAAAAATGATACCGTCATTTCTAATTGACTTAAAATAAAAATTAAAAAATGCATTTCTAAAACCCTCGGCTCGAAAAATGATTAAAACGACCCTTTGGGTCCTCATGACACGCAAAACGAGGCACAAAAAATAATAATATAAAATTTTGAAAAAATTCGGGACATTACAATAAGACCCAATATATATATATATATATATCAAATAATTATTTCTTTTGACACCCATCAACAATTACCAAAAAAAAGTAATCTTTTTTGACAAGACTGAAAAAAGAAGTTAACTTTGTTGAATAAATGTCTTTTTTCATTGTGTGTGTGTATGTGTGTGTGTGTGTGTGTATATACACTATGGAATAAATTTCCTTTTATTAATACTAGTAAGAGACCGTGAAATTAATTTATAATTTTAATTTTTTTAAAAATTACAGAATAATAAAAAATAAAATAATTTCTTTTATGAATAATTAATTAGCAATTTGTTTTGAGTAACTGAAATTTTAAATATTTATGAAATCAATTGTATCATCCTTTTGCACATTTATTAGTACGAAACAAGATTTTAGAGTAAAGATTAAAATTTAAGGAGTCACGTTTTCTCATTTAAATAATTTTTAACCATAAGATAAAAATACTAATTTTAAATAAATATTAAAATTCAATTGGTGTTTTATTTTAAAACAAGTAGAAGAATTTTGAATTAAAATTTTAATTGGTATTTTATTTTAGTTAAATTTAAAATTAGTTTATGGAGGGTTTCCAAATTGATATTTTATTTTACTTAAAATTAAAGTTAGTTTATGAGAGGTTTGTTTGTTAGGGATTTTATTTTAGTTAAAATTAAAAAAAGTAGAAGAATTTTAAATTAAAAACTCAATTGAATTAGTAGAAGGATTATAAATTAGAAATCATTTAAAAAGAAAAATAGATATACACACTTGTTTTGGTAACAAAAAATTATGCACACGTGGCGAAGCGTCGTCGTTTCCAAATCAGCCCTTGCCTTGTCTCCACAACGATTCAAAAGCCTTGTCTAGTCTCCACAACGATCGTCTCAGCAAAAAGTAGGAGTTAAGCTTTCTCATACTGTCCAACGATGGCGATCGAGAACGAGCCAGCGAAGCTTCTTTTGCCATACCTTCAACGAGCCGATGAGTTGCAGAAACACGAACCCCTAGTCGCCTACTACTGTAAGTCTCTAGCAGTTGTAACGTTTAATAAATTTGAACCCTAATTTCACGATTCTTAAGACGTGTTTTTTCTATGAATTTGACGTTTTCGATTCCTAATCCATCCGCAGGTCGATTGTATGCGATGGATCGAGGGCTAAGGATTCCACAGAACGAGCGCACAAAATACACCAATTCCCTCCTTGTTTCCCTCATGAAACAACTTGAAAAGGTCAAATTATTCAACTTTTGAATAATTATTACTCTTTAAAAGGTGCAATATTTTAGTTCTGTTGTAGAATCTAAAACCTTTGTTCATGGTTCTTCCATTAATATGTGATGGGTATTGCCTTTTAATAAATTGTTGAGTTAAATTAACTGGAAATAAAATATTAAATCTAACTGTGAGTGTTTGGTTTTAGATAGCCAAATGGTTACCTATGGAAATCCAATTGAAGTTCTTTTTTCTTTAATTACTTTGGGTGCATTTTTTTTTTTTTTTTTTTTTTTGCACTATGGACATCCAATATATTTTCCCCTGCCTTTGGGATCCAAAATGATAGAAAATTCAAGATTTACAATTTTTATCTCTCTTATTATCCTTCCTTTCCCTCTATAAATATATAGAGCTCTGTATATATTTTTTAAGAGACATTCCCTCGATTTCCCAATGGAATTCCATTGGCCATTCTGATATAGAGGATGTGTTATGGACTCTTTATTGAGCTAAGGTGGTTGTTTATATTGAAACTTAAACCAACTACAATTTGTTTTTTGGTTGTGATCTCTCAAAGTTCAAGGGTTTAAATATGGAAAAGAATCTGAAGTCCAAAACTTTCTTGTATTTAAATAGTTCAAAATGTGTTGAACTTGAGATTCAAAGCATTGTTCAACATTGTGTAGTGCTTCTACTTGTCTAGTCCATGAAGCAAGGACACATTTGGAATTATCTGTGAATTTTGTGGCCAATCCCACTTTTTTTAACAAACGAAATAGAAGTTCTTTCACCTAAAATAGGGGCGTTGGAGAAGATAGGAAACCTTGTGATGTTTGCCTTGACGTTTTGTGATTCTAAAATGGACGTGTTTCTCTATATCTCGTGGATTGATTTAGTAGTAGTTACATGCAATACATCCATCACCAGAAACACCAAAAATATCTCAAGTATTGCCCCTGAATGTACATGTCGGAGTGAATTATGTTGGTGCTTTACATTGTTCTGGCTGTAGTAACATTCTTCCTTAACTCCGTTGGCATAAGGCCTCTGGACATGATGCAAAGGTCTTGTGCTCAATACCTGGGAGCGTCAAAAACCTCCTCCCTGTGCTTATTTGATACCAGTAGTTTTGGGGTAATTGTAGGTATGCAAATGATAATTAACATTATTTTTTGCAGACTTGAACTTCTGCCAAGGAGACTAGCAATGCAATTTAAAGTTGAAGCTTATTACTGATTAGCAATTGTCTGAAATTGATATCCTCTCTATATCTACAATTCATTGGTTTCTACTTGTTCGGTCATTTTACAGGATAAGATGTCGCTAAAGTTGGGGCCTGATGACAGCTTACACCTGGAGGGATTTGCTTTAAATGTCTTTACGAAGGCAGACAAGCAAGATCGGGCTGGGCGAGCAGATCTGTACGATAAGTTTTTTTTCTACCTTTTCCATGATACTTATTTTGCAAGGATTTGAGACACATGCCTTGAGGCATGTAGTCTCTCTCAAATTGATTGAGGTCCACACAACCAATTATGAAGCATTTTCTCTCAGTACACACCTTATGCCGAGAGGCTCCCTTTATGTTTGTGATGTATACCATGTGTAAACCAAGTTTTGTAAATGGTTAATGGCCAGTTATGAAAACTAAGTCATAAAACAATTCCCGGTATTATGTTCTTTAGCAATCAGCTTCCATTCGGAGACTTGTGAACAAGCTAAACCCTACTATTATTCAAGGAATGTTTTAAGTGCCACCGACCTCATATTGCCTAAAAGTATGAAGGTGATACGGCTAGTGATGGGAACGGGTTGGATTCAGGACAAATCCCCTTTCTGGACCCCACCTTAGGGAGGAGGTAACCATCCCCAAATCCATGGTGAGTTGGGTTGTGAAAAAATTAAAATTTCAACAGGGTGGGGTGGGTCTCTTTGTGAGATTGAAAATAATTTGTTATATTTTCTAAGGGAAAATTACATATTAATCCTACTTTTCATTTTCAAAGACCAATAAGTTCTAGAAAATTTTGCTATTTAAGATTTTTAATTTTCTTAAACCAATAATTTCAAGAATATGTTAAATAATAAAGGGCTGAATGGGAAAAAAAAATTATTACTAGTGGAGTTACGAATTTAGTTGGAAATATTTTAATAAAAAAGTAGGGCTTCTTTGTCTTAATAGAATTTCATAGGACTTCTTGGTCCTTACAATTGAAAAGTAGGACTAATCAGTAGTTTTCCCATATTCTAACTGCCATGTTGTTATGCTGCCCCACTGTTCTCGAAACCGATTTTTAAAAATACATTTTACAGGTGGCATACACTCATCTCCGCCATCCATAATGCACAGTGAATAATTACAATTTGGATGGAGTGGTGAGGCGTAGTTGCTTTAATAGATAAAGAGGTCCCTTCATTTTTACTGAATCCGTTGTGGGAAGAGAGTACTCTATCCATCAGTCTATTAGCGGATATGAGACCATACGCTACAAAGGCATAAAAATGTAGTACTGCAGTTCCTCTTTTGGTAGTAGATGAATAATCCTTTTTCCCTCATTGGCAACAAATTAAAATATAGGAAGTATTTATGAAGTTTCAGTATCTTATAGGATGTCCAGCGTGCACATTTTGTATCAAGGGTGGATATAAACTTCTGAATCTTTTTTAAGGGTATCAATGTACAATACCTGCATAATAAGGGTGACCTGGGTATTCCCTGGTCTTGGACCTGCCCCGAATTGGAGTTGATTTTGCACATTTGTCCCTTAATCCACCCTACACCATTTACTGATTTCTTAAACATTGTTTTTGTTGGGGCAGGCATGGGGCCAGAGTAACCCAAATAAATTAGGTTGATTGCATCCCTAGAAACAGCTAAAATACTTTTGCAGCTGATTTGAATTTTTTTTTCCCTTATCAATTGTTTCTTTGTATTCAAAGCTAAATGGATTAAATGAATAAAACAATATCGTTTTTGCACATTAAGATTTTGTATATAAATTTTCCCTGGTAATCTGTTTTATTTTTAGTATTTTATGAAATTCTAAATGAACAATTTTGACGGAAGACAAGTCTAGGATTATTTTTTTAAAAAAATATAAAGATAAACAAATATTTTATCATATACGATTCAACATTTCAGGTCAACTATTCTTACTCCCTGTCTCCGCTCCAAATGAGAACTCTAGAAAAATTCACTCAGGCTAGTCTTCATACATCTCTCCACACCAAGTCTACTGAATAGAAGGAATTTGAGCCTGCTGGTACCACCCCTCCCCCGGCTTACATCCCGGTGTACATGGACAGGTTTTAACCTATATCAAGAATAGTCTTTCTATCTAATTGCTAACCACTTCCCCCTAAGTTCCCTTTCACAAATGGCTTCTTCGTTTGAGGTTCCACCAGTTCATTAGTAGTAAAGATGTGATACTACAGTCCCCGGTTCAAGCAGGCATCAATGCCTTCAACAGGTGCACGTACCCGCTGTTCCCCTGGGAAGCGAACTTCCTTATGAGTGGTGCATAAAAATTAGTACAGCTTGTCTCCTGTAACACAAGGTTTCCCCATTTTTTTGTCTATAATTTTATTTTCAAACCGTTGACAAATTTATGTGATAGTTTGTGTTAAGAATCATGCCTAATATTGTGAGGGGGCAGGATTGATGTACCTATCAAGCACCTGTCAAACTTTATGATATAGTATCTGTTAGAGAATACATTACTCTTTGAAAATGAGAAAAAAAAATAAAATAAAATAAAATAAAAAAATAAAAAAAATAAAAATAAAAAATAAAAAATTGAACATTATATGTCTTGTATTTTGCAACAGATAGCATAGTAGTACATTTTTTACATCATGATTTATCTTCCATGGTAGCACCAGATTATGTAATTGCCCCCTCTACTAATTTTGATATTATGAACACTTTGTGATATTGTGGCCAAATAACAAGAACGGGAAGTCATTGATCTGGTGACTTTGTGCAGCAAACAAAGACAAAGCAGAAGTCCTCTTATAGTTGTAAGATAGACTAGAATCACTCCAATCACCATTAGTTTATATACTGATAATATCTCAAACTGATATAGATCAAAAATCGTTACAACAGAGAAAACAGGCTTCCCTTTAATAAAATAGCCAATAATGACCTCTAATCTTCCCTAGACAGACTTTAGAATTCCCACACAACATTAATAAAACCCTAGAGCTTTCCTGACTAATCACTTAATAATTTCTTAATTTAAAGCTTAATTACTACTTAGTTACCAAAAAAAGAATGACTCTTTTTCCTTCTTGAAGACACTTTTTCAGAGCTCCATTAATTATTTGCATCACTTTGCCAATCTAGCTTGTTTTTCACAACAGAATCGAAGCTTGAATGATGGGTCATGCCCTTACTAATGTTTAATATTAGTGTATATATATTGTCTGTGAGATCAGATAGTTCTCTCTCTCTCTCTCTCTCTCTCTCGGTGGGCATGTGTGTGTAAAGTTAAATTTTATTTTTGTTAATTGATTGACAGTTAGAACTTGTTGAGTTTGTTACAGGAACACTGCAAAGACATTTTATGCTGCAAGCATATTTTTTGAGATTCTTAATCAGTTTGGTGAACTTCATCCTGATGTGAGTTTAAAGATCACGTTATTAAATTTTACATTGACAGGTTACTTTACTCTATAAAGGCTATAGGCTAAAAGGATTCAGTTTTAACTAGCTTTGGCGTAGTTTATATTGTTGTATCTCAAATTATATAAAGAATATTCAGTTGACTATATTGTGTTTGGTTTCATGTGCATGCCTTGTAACAGCTTGAGCAGAAACAGAAGTATGCAGCATGGAAAGCCGCTGATATACGAAAAGCTATAAAAGAAGGAAGGAACCCTGAACCAGGCCCCCCTGGTGGTGATAAAGATCTCTCAGTACCATCAAGTTCACCTAGCAGTGGATATGTATGATTCTGAACTCTCTAATAAAATGTTTTAACCTAGTTTGAGTGATGTTGTTATTGTGAAACTTAGCATGGGAGACGAAGTATGAGATTAGTTGCCTGTTAAACCCAATTTAAAATTACTTCTAATCAACAACAACCACTGAATGTCTCGTATTTGCACCAAATATAATAAAAAAAATATTCAAGGCAGTACAACATGAGAGAGTTTTGGTTTTTCATTGAATTTTATTCATAGATGAACCAATTTCACTTCTGATTAACATCTATGCAATGGATTTGATGGCGAAAACTTTGATGAACATAGTTATCATCATTGTGGGTTCTCAATGCGCAGTAGTACTCAACAAGAGTCTATAATGCATTAGTTAAAGGATCTACTGAGTTTTTTAGTTCACAAAAAACTGAATAGAAAATATATTAAAAGAAACATAAAAAGTTAATAGATGTATTCATCTTAGAACTTGATTAGAGAAGAGTTTAATAAGTTGTTAAATATTTTTGAAGAATTTCATGCTATTTTTTTGCTTGGCAGGATCTCGAACCGAGCAGATTTGAGCCAGATACCAAACCTGCACCAGAATCTGAGCCATCACCTCAGTTCTATGATGAAGTTAACACCCATCATTCCGCGAATATTCCACCATCACCTCCATCAAATATTCTGCCATCACCTCCATCAAATATTCTGCCATCACCTCCTCCTTACCGTACTACCAGTTATACTTCCCAGGATTTTCATCCACCTCCTTCAAGCAACATATCAGAGAATTCTACTTATTTGCAGCCACATCACCATCAACCCTACCCGCAAGAGCCTCAACAGCATTTGCCTCAAAATTATCCGTCCCAAGAGCCTCAACATCTTCTGCCTCAAAATTATCCGTCTCATGAGATTCCCTCGTACTCATATCCCAATTTCCAATCTTACCCTAGTTTTACGGAGAGTAGCCTCCCAGCAGCACCATCTCATTATCCTTCCTATCATCAGGGCTCCGATGCTTCCTACCCTACCTCATCAGCTACTACCCAACCGAACTACCAAACACCTGCTCAGTATGATTCAGGCAGCAGAAACGGAACTGTTTCAGAAGCTGTACCAACTTCTGCACAAACATATCAATATGACAGCAATTACCAGCCACCAGCTGAGAAAATTGCCGAGGCACACAAGGCCGCGAGGTTTGCAGTTGGCGCTTTGGCATTTGATGATGTGTCTGTTGCAGTAGACTTCCTTAAAAAATCACTTGAACTGTTGACGATCCCATCGAAGGGTCAGTAGAATTGATAATTTGAACTCACAGAGCTGGGAGTTGTTTCTATGTTATTCCATCTCATCTTTTATGGTTTGATTTGTAAAGTCCATTGGATCTTTTCTTTCCCTTTCTTTTCTAATGAAAAAGTTGCTGTATTCTATATGATCACTGACCGATTTGGAAGTTAATAGTTGGATTAAGTCTCAGCAATCAGTTTGTGAAATGTCAATATTTTGGTTCTGCTGTGGTCTTCCCTTCTCATCACCGTGCATAGGTGGAATACTGTGTTTTGCTGGACCATCACAAACAAGAAGTATATAATATTTCAGGACACGATTGTGTATCTCAGTATCTGAATCTAGCTTTATTCAATGTCAACAGTCTCAGTGAATGGTGGGGGTGCATCGGTAATACAAATTGAATTTCAGTTTGGTTTCATGTCTCAAACGTGTTGGTTCTAATTTCAATTTTTTAGAAACCGTTAAGAATAGTTCAATTCCGATTTAGTCTAAAATCGTACGTTAAGAACGATTCACTGGATCGATCATGTGCAACCCTAGTAAATGGTTGCGGCACCCTGGATCGATCATGTGCAACCCTAGTGGATGGTTGAGGCACCCGCTTTCTATATTAGTAATTTAAATTTAACAGTTAGGACAACATAGAATCGGAGGGCTGTATTTTCCTTGAAATTTTCTTTTGTACTCGGGTGAAATGATGTAATATGAAAGTCCCTTCGCTTTCATCACCAATCAATTCAACACTATATCTTCAAATGTAGTAAGTAAAGTAATTATTTTGGACACAATATAGTTTGTAGTGATTATAGAGCCATATATTATTGGTGGTATCAATTTGATCTAATCAAACAAATCTACGCTGATAATAACAAAGCTTATCTAGGAAAATTCCTCTCTCTTGCAGAACCCGCCTAAGCAGCCTTCATAACCTCATTCAGAACACTAATTTACTGAAACCATATTCAGCCTGGTGTGGTTAATTCATTTCAGAAGAAGAAATGGGAGCAAATCTCTGCGTTTTCCGGCAAACAAGCCCTAAAAGGCTGCCAAAACAGGACGCTGATCATCATGTCAACCGTGTCGGTCTAAAAGCATCCATTATCAAGTTCATGAAGCAGACATGTCCTCGCCCAGCAAAGAAAAAGCAGCAACGGTTGCACTCACATGATCAGAAGCTGTTAACGGATACGAGTCAGCTCACTACTCTGGAGGAGTGGATCTTGGCTTCACCGGCCCTAAATGAAGGTTGCACCACCAATGGAGGACATGACTTTCATGTTGTTAAACAATGCTCTAATAAGGTGTACCCATCTTTAACTGGAGACTTCACCAGACTACGAGTGACGGTTGGTGAAGTTGACAGAGAAGAAACAGAAGTTTCTTCATGGACGGTTGGTGAAGTTGACAGAGAAGAAACAGAAGTTTCTTCATGGAGCAGAAGCCAGAGTGGGAAGACAAAGAAGAGGGTGAGCTTTAGAAAACCAGAAGTTGCTCAAATAATCATATTTGATATATCAGATGAATAATATGAAGTTTGATTGAAAGTGGTTTGCTTTTGTTGTTCATGGTTTGGGGCCAGTTTGGAGTCTGGACTTGAAGATGTCTTGGTCCATTTTGCCAGTTTTCCAATTGTTGCATTATAAGAAATTAGTTATAACCTTCCCCTCCACATAGTAGTCTATGCATTTACTACCATACCATGTCAACTCAGTGGTTGATTGTCATTTGATGACAAACTCATCAAAAAATTTGTATATATATATGGGTCCCGATCTCTTACTCGAACGAGTGTGAGTAAGAATTTATTCACACTTTTTATAGTCATCATTAGATTAAATCTAACCGTAAACATTCCAAACTCAACTCACTTATCTCCTTTTCTAGAAAATGTGGATAACTTCTCTTACTCACATTAAGCAAGAGATCAGGATATGTGTGTGTGTGTACAAAATTTTGATGGATTTATCTTCAAATGACAACCAACCACTGAATTGCCATAGTATAATAATAAATGCATATGCTATTATGAAAGTGCGGATAAATTCTATTGCTCACCCTTGAGCAAGAGATGAGGACCCTATCTGTATATATTATATGTAATATCAACGCATGTATTTACATGGAATGGAGTAGATTGATCATGGATGGACGGAGGATTAACAAGCGCAGTGTAATCTTCTGGCATATGATACAAGATTTAATAAAATAAAGTGTGCCATCCCCAAGTTTTTGGTAATTAAAATTTAATGGATAAAAATCATCACTTAAAAGGAATTTGAAAAACTTTAGCAAATAATCTTTTTAATATATATACATATATATATATGAAGTACAACTTATTACATTGATGTTACTGTCTTCTAGTCTAAAATCACCCAACTAACAGTTTCCAACAGCGCTTTCACACACTCCACAGTCATCAATGAAACTTCTACAACTCACTTTTGAGAAACCAAATGGGCGTAAGAAAGAGTACAAAAGTAAAATAGGACTATCTCATCCACTTTTAAATCTGTATGGAGGACCCTTGAGACTTCCATGACCCATAAGACTGCATTTACTGTTCTCTATTCATTCCATGAAGCAGGAGAGCACACAATAACACACAATGATGTACAGATTGAACCTTTTTTTCTTCTTTTAATTTCAACAATATCTGACCAGAAGACATGCCTTCATATTTTACTGGGCGGCACAATAATGCAACAAGCCCTAGGAGCAAAAAAGGGTATGATAAGATTCATTGTGAGCTACTCTACTAGGTAGATGATACAGACACGGCTAAAGCTATATAATGTACACGAAATGAGCATTTGGAAATCCTTTGATCAGCTGTCCAAGGTTCCCCCACAATTAGCAACCTGTTTGCAAACAAATAACCCAGTTATTATCCTTAACATATACTCCGACAAAAGATATAAGAATGTAACGAGTATGTTAAAATATTGTCATAGAACAGTGCATAGGTATCTGCAGATGTGAGACGGAGTAGGTGGTTCCAAGGCAAACTGTTAGTCAAACAGAAAAAGAAGAGAATAATCGTAAATTTGTGAGGGGAAAATTGACTATTTCACCATCCATATAACTTAAATTCTAGTTTCATCCGATCTTTCTTGTGTGATAAATCTGTATTTTTTGGCATTGCAAGCACACACGTGCTAGCTACACTTCCTAACCTGCATGATTTCAAGCCATCACATGCCACCAATAGGTTTTAGGACATAGAAAGGGACTTGATCCCACTTGTGAGCAACTGCAAATCTGTACAACTCATTCACGGATTTAAGGCAAATATGCCACCCTTTCCGACAGAATAGGTACCAGTTTAAATCTTAAATTTGAACAAACTGCTTTTGAATGATAACAACATTTAAAAGGGAAGATGATCAACCATTTGGCTCCTAACATCCTATGAATTATTCTTTTTATATATCTTATTCGTAAAATTACATAAAAATCCTGCAAAGACCATTGTCTAGTTTTAGTCTCATCAACACAAGATCCTGAAAGGAATGGTTTGAGTACAGACCTAACCTTCGACTATATTTTCATAAAGCGGTTGTCCTCGTACTCACGACGGCATTCCCATGCTTAAATGAGTTTAATATATAATAAATCGCAAACAGAAAATTTTCAGAATATTGAGGTAAGGAATTAAGTATGTTATCCAGTTGATGTTAAGGAATTAAGTATGTTATCCAGTTGATGTTTTAAACACAGTATAACACACATCTGAATAAATCTTTTCCTTACACTAACTGAAAATGTAAGTGTTATAATACAAACTGCAACAAAAGCTTTAGTCTTAGAGAATGGAGCCAACAGTGCATATCAAGCTCCAAAACCCCCTCTCAACGCAACCCGGATTTGTACATGGTGAGCCAAACAAGCCAACTCAAACCAAAACAAAGTGCAAACTTGCACACCAAACTGGAAAAAAAAAAAAAATGTATGTATGGAGACTTTTTTAACGAGAAGCTAGGAAGCATGGACACACATAAAAGGGCAAAGAATCTGTCCGACACCGTCACACCTCGAAACGTGTCGGACACGCCAAAAAAACATGTCTGGACTTTTTTTTTATTTAGTATTCATGGACACGTAGTGGACAAGCGTCCGACACGCATGTCCCATTCTTGGGATTTTTTTTTTTTTTTTCCCTTTTTGATAAGGCATTCCTGGGAATTTTTAAGAAAGATCTAGAAAGAAAGCCGGGTTGAAGTGTAAATATGAGGTGTTATTTAATAACACTTATCAAAAAAAGACTTGAGGAATTGTTTAATAACTTTCAGTAATATGATGGTCATTACATAATTACTTATAAGTTGTTTCGTAAAAAAATTTTATATTAAAACAATCATATATTTATGCTTATATTTTGTTCAAATGTTCAAACTCTTGCATGAATCTTTGACTCACTCTTGTTCTCCCACCAACGAAGCTTCACTGCCGGTGGATGGTCTCTCTCTCTCTCTCCTCTTTTCTCTCGATCCTCCTTTCTCTATATCCTCCTCTTTTCTTTCTTTTTCTTCTTCTTTTTCACAAACCCCAGATACTTCTTTTTTTCCTTTCACAACAAAATTCTCTCTCTCTTTTTCCTTTTTCCTCTTGTTACCTTTATTTTTAACTAAACCCTAATTCGTTTTCTAACAAAACCCTAATCCTTTTTTTTTTTTCTCTCTCTTTTAACCCTTTTTCTATCATTCTTTCTTTTTCCCAGCAAAACACAAAAAAAATTCTCATTATTTGGACGATAAAAAATAATATTACTCTTAATTTCTTAAAGTACAGCACTACAACATCATATATATATATGTATAAAATATTTATTATTCGCGTGTCCCTACCGTGTCCGTGTTGTGTCGTATCCGTGTCCCATATCAGTTTCTGTGCTTCTTAGATGAAAATTTATCAAAGTTTTGTTTTAAGCAACGAACAAAGGATTTTTATAAGAGCACAAAAAATATCCAGATTTTATGAAACCTAGTGTTTGCATTACTTTAGAGACTAAAATAAGTTACTGTAGTCATCTTTAAGAAAATCGTGAATTAAACCAAGATTTTGGAAGTCTCGTTTTATGAAACAAACAAAAAGACTCCTTCAAGAAACTACTAGAAACCTTACTTTTTTTGAAAAGTTGTTTTAAAATGATTTTTAAACAAATCAAATTTCAAGAGACTTATAATTCTAAAGAGAAACTTAATTTTGAATGTATTTTAGATGGCTTTCACGAAACATAGAATTTAAGAATTCTATAAATTTTAGTATTTTAAGAGATGTCACAGAGGTGCATTTTAATGGTTTTAAGATACCTAGACTTTTTTTTTTTTTTTGATAAGTAAGAATTTTATAAAAAAGTGCTCAAAGGGGAGCGAAACCCAAAGAAACAAGATGAAAAAACCATAAAGAGCCTCAAGCCTTCAAAGAGGCCATAAAAATAACAATCTCCTCAATAAAACGATAATCTCTCCCTAAGACCCAACAAAAGAGAGTAGAAATAATAGAAAACTTAAGCATAAAAATGGGGTTCTCCTTGCCATCGAAATATCTTCGATTCCTCTCGAGCCAAATGCACCACCAAACACAAAGAGGGATAGCCCTCCAAGCATCCCGGATGAGCACCCCAACAGAGACACCTCTCCAAGCCTCAATCAACCCTCTAGAGGAACAGGGCATAACCCAGGGAACCCCAAATAACCCAATCATCAAATCCCAACAATCTCTGGCCATACTGCAATGCAACAGAAGGTGATCCACTGTCTCCTCATCGCAACGACACAAGTAACAGCGATTGATAACCACCTGCATTCTCCTCCTCAAATTATCCTGGGTTAAAATCCTACCCAAGACAGACGTCCAAGCAAAAAAGGCCACCTTAAGGGGAGCCTTGGAACGCCAAATAGCCTTCCAAGGGAAAGGCACCTGAAAAAGGATCTCACCTCGAAACGACCCTGAGAGTGTGGACTCCAAAGTCAACAATCAGCCTCCTCATGAGAGATCACCTGACGATACAGTAACTCCAAAAAACGAGCGACCTCCTCAATTTCCCAATCCTGAAAATACCTCATAAACTGAACGTCCCAAGTTAGTCTTCCGTTATCAAGGTGATAACAGTCAACCACCAAGGCCTGTCTGTCAGAAACAATCCTGTAAATCCGAGGGAAAGAAAGAGCAAAGGGAAGATCCCCACACCAAAGGTCCTCCCAAAATCTGATCCTCCTACCATCCCTGATCCTAAAGCGAACATGATTACGAAAAACGTCCCATCCCTTTCGAATGCAAGTCCAAACCCCCACACCCCTAGGACCACGCCCCTCAAGAGAACACCACCCACCACTAATTTCCCCAAACTTGCTGGCAATAACTTTCCTCCAAAGCCAAAGTCTCTCAACCCCAAATCTCCAAAACCACTTCCCAAGAAGAGCCCTATTGAAAGGCAACAACCTTCGAATCCCTAATCCTCTACTCTGAAGGAGACGACACACTTGCTCCCATCGAACCAGATGATATTTGAACTCCTCTCCTCTCCCTCCCCAAAGAAAATTCCGCTGCAAACTCTCAATTCTCTCCGCCACCGAAGAAGGAATCTGAAAAAGGGAGATAAAATAGGTGGGAAGGCAAGAGAGAGTGCTCTTGATCAGAGTGACCAGCCCCCCTTTGGAAAGGTACTGCTTCTTCCAACCTGCCAGCCTCTTCTCAAATCTATCCACCACCGGATTCCAACTCCCCACATATCTCGAAAGAGCACCCAGAGGCAAACCTAAATAAGAAATAGGAAACGAGCCAGTGCCACATCCGAGGATCTGAGCAAACATCTCAATATCGGGAACATCCCCGACCGGCACTAAAACACTCTTTCCAACATTCACTTTAAGCCAAGAGACAACTTGGAACCAAATCAAAACACATCTCAAATGTCTCAGTTGGGACGCATCAGCATCACAAAGTATACTACACACCAGTTAAGAGTAAACTACCGAGGGTTCCCAAAACATCCAAATCCTACTGCAACTTGGTCACAACAATATTTTTGCTCGAGTACTTTTAGCTCTTTCTGGCTCTTTTCATGAAATGGTAATGTAAGCATGATCATGGCATAACAACGACGTGTGCATACCACGACGACCCTAAAACTACTAAATAACAACAGAGGTGTAGAGGGTTTCAATAAGAGATGGAGGAGTCTTGCTAGCACTCAAGCATTTAAAATCATCCAAACTGTGCTTAAAAGCAAACCAGGGTGCTATATTTTTGAAGTGTAAAAGTTGTGGATAACAAGAAAAAGTACCGAAAAGAAAATTCTGGGGACTGGTTGCATCTACAAAAGAGAGAGTTCACTTGTGCCTCTGTCACATCCACGAATGTGACACAATGCAACTTGGCTTGTGTTGCCTCTATAGATGAAAGATACCCAATGTTTTAGGTCAAAATTGATGCAACAGACGTGGTTTCGAACTTCAAAAGTGTGCACGATTTCAAGCCTGATTCTCTAGGATTTTTTTATGACGCCTTACATTCGAAGTCTGTTCTAGACAATTCTTAGCCTTCAAACTTAACTGTTTTGAACCTTCTATGGGAAAGTTGATCAAAGTTTCGAGTTGACCATCACATGCGATAATCAAAACCATGATCTAGGATACCTAAGGTGTCCCTATGTTATTTGATTTTAGATTGACCACTGGATCACCCTATATAAGATCAAGCCTCATCTTGAGAACTGGAAGGCTGAATATGTGCACTTGACCATCTCCTTATGAGAGACTATATGGTTATTGAAGTCTGTGTGATGTCTAACAACAGTGGTGTGGTTGGTCAAGTCATAGCACTCCGATCGTGGTCCCAATGAATATTACTCAATGCTACAAAAGGCCATGAGTATTGTTTTACACGTATTGAAGTACGTAAATTACTAAACTACCCCTATATCGAGGGTATAAAATTACCCATAAATCCCTATGTTAAGGAAGGGGCAAAATGGGTTGCCTACACGCGATAAACTGTCTAAAGATGGTTTGGCTATATGCAATATAAATCAACAAAAACAACTTCTGTCAAATCATTGCTGATATAATCAGAAGGAGCTAAAAGCTAAAATTTCATAATTTTAGACCCAATTTCTATGAACATTGACTTTGGGCTAGCTCAGCACCAAATATTAGATATATCTCTTGCTAGAAGTACCCCTTATCCCATTGATAATAAAAAGGCCCAAATAATTTGATTAGGATAGTTGCTCAATTATACCATAGTTTCAACAACAAAAGCATTTGATCCAAGTTGAAATGCTAAAAGTGCAAGAGGAAGGCCAAAAAGAAAAAATTATATCAGTTGAGATCATAAGCAAGGACATGGTAATGTAAAATTTAATAAATATATAACTTTTTTCATAATTTTAAGATACTGCTTTCCATAAGAGAACATCGGTGAAGACAGCGGTTCATACTGGACCAGCTAGTTCCCTAGTGAACCCATTAGTGCACTAATTCGGTTGAGATAGTTGAAATGGAATTCCATACTATGGCAAAAAATAGTAAAGGGGCATCCATTGTGCAGTTTAAATATTTGAGATGGGCTTCCTTACTCTTTGGGGCAACAGTATAGGGACACAGAGATAAAGGAAATTGAAACGTCAACCTCAAGATGAGACCATTAGACACTAACCACTATGCTATCATTGCCATTTTAACATTTAATATTTTTACAAACTGGATGGGTCACAATATTTTTTTATACATGCCAAAGTAATGGAAAACAAAAAAATATCCTTTACGTATCCACCCAGTTTGTCAACCTTTTGGGAAATGATACAAAAAAATATATCCTTGTACACAATAGAAAAACTCCACTTTGATGAACTATACAATAATTGGATTTATACCATCGAAGAAAAAAGTAAGAACATAAGCAACGAATTTATAAACAGAATCGAGGCTCTAGACGGAGTATCCCTTTCTTTCGATATACTTGAAAAAAAAAACTAGATTGTGTAATGATGAAACGAAATCGACAATTTTATTTATAGATCATGTTTTGTTTATACTACTGAAATTATGTCGAATAAATATTCCGTTAAGAATATCCGTGTCTAAAGATAAACAATAATTTTCTTAAAATTGTTTATGATAAGCACGTGTCTTATCACATATGGTAGTATCCCGGTGTTAGTTGTATCTTATATTGGTATGTCTCTACAGTATTATATTATATCATATTCATATCAGTATTTTGTCTACGTGCATTAGATAAAAACCAAATCCCCTAATCCAAATGAGTTGCAATAAACAGCAAAAAGAATTGTCAGTGTATATAATCAAAGAGCGAGCCAGAAACTTGCAGCAACGAGAGCCTGGATAAAATTATTTTACCTTAAAATATACGTCTAATAGCAACTAACTTGAAGTGTCTCGAAATAGCCCTTTTGATTCATCATAAAACCATCTGCAAAGCAATTTCTTTCTCAGATTATATAAAATCCATGATAAGGCAATTCTTCTACACAATAAATAAGAAAACAATGAACATATACTCGTATCATAAAGATTTAATCCCTTAATTTAACTCAAGGGCATATTAGTTTTGCCAAAAAGATGAGGCAATTAATCTAAGCTGGTGTATTGGGTCCTCGTGAATGTCATTACCAAGGGTTCCATCAATATTTTAGCCACGTCTCAAATATGCCTTCCAATAGTTGTTATCTCATCTTTGTATAGGTAGTAACAAACTTAGAATAATGACTTTTGAACACAAAAACTTCCTAAAAAACAATGAATGTAAACTTCTGACTAGAATTGAAAAAAGAAAAAATAACTCAAAATTATTTATTTAATTCATAACTTAATATTTCAAATAAAAGAGACTTATCAAAATAAATAAATAAATAAAAGAGATAACTCAACTCAACAAAGCATTTTGTCATATAAAAGAGATAAAGAAGAAAAAAAACAATTCACAACCAAAACAACAATTTTTTATCAAAAAAACAAATATTATAACACAATTCCTAATGGATGCAATTTAAATCTTTGAAGTGAGTAATCTACGACAGCATTCAAAACACAAGACAACTTGTGCTTCTAAGGCGTACAAATAAGGAGATATATTAGGGTGTATAGATTGTGCGGTATTAGAGTACTATGGTTTAAAGACAATCAGTCGCTATTGATGGTATAAGAGTATACCATGGTTTGAAGAACTCGACAATGCAATATTCTATTTGTGCCCAACATCATTTGCCATGCGCCAAATCAAGATTGGTAGAAAGTTTTTTATTTTATCCAAAAGAAGGGTGGACAAGATACAATAATGTGTCTGCTTAAAGGGTAAGGAAGAAAATTAAGGGAAAAAATAAAAATAACCCAACATACCATTTCCGAAATAAATGTCCAAGGTGGTGTGTCATATTAAGCACTATACTGCATTTCCTGTTTACTGTTTGTTTAACACTATGCCAGACGGGCATGCACATATCTACTGCTCGTCATTTCTCCTCCGGAGTGGAACAGCACAATCATTTGAGAACCACTTTTCAAATATGTTCGAAGACTCGAAGAGAATGTTAAAATGGTCTCCTTTACTATGGCAAGTCATGGTTTCGAATGATTCCCTTATCCCTCTATGGTCACTCATCAACTCAATATTTTCATTTATGTTCATGTTCCACATTACCATCCAGAGCAGTTCTACAAAACTAGTTTCTTGGGAGTTCATCTTCACTCTTCACATTATGGTTACATTACTTTATAGAGTTACTATTACAGAGAATTTAAAACTAATAATACACCACATTATTATACATGAAGCATAATTAAACAGTCCTGCCATGTGTCTGGAGCACTGACAGGATCAAGCTCAAGCTTTTTGACATTCTTGAAACAAGGAGAATTCATTGAAAATCATGAGAAGAAACTAATATTTCCAATAGTCATACTTAAACATGAGGTTACTTTTCCACAGTCAAAATAACATTTTTACATATTTTAGTAGTATGGATCTTGGAAAGAACATCCATATCCACAGTTGAGGCTCTAGTGTTTGTGTACAAAACCATATATTTCTAGAGAAAAAATTACACACTCTGAAATGGTACGATACATAAAAAGTTATGCCAAAATGCCAGGCATTACACCTCTACTCAACTCATTCTCAAATCTCAAGCCCAACAAATGTTTCATCTATAGACCACAGAATTGTCGGATTCTGATAGTGATTCTGACCGATAAAGTGGTCAAAATGAAATTCTCATAAGAACCAGCCAGTTCACTGAGAACTTGCCAAATCAAGAGGGAATCGGCCATTTCGATGAGCAACGCGTCCTATTCGGGTGTGCGCTTTTAGTTCGACCAAAAACCGTGCAAGAACCACCCGTTTACAGGATAATCGGTCAGTTCCTAACAGTATCATCAGGTTCAGGACCAGGATAATGTCGGGCCTTTAAAACACAAATCTGGCCCATTTTTTCCCCTAATTTTAGTCTCAAAACAACTCAATTTGAGCCTCGCTTGCTTTGAAACCTCTAATCTCAAGATCTAAGATAAAGTCACAATTTTTGAACTTCCAAAGTTCGAAATAATCAGTGAGTTCCGTAGCTTTTTTTTTTTTTTCACTTGCATCTAACTTAAAAATGCTGTTTCATGGTAGATCTATAACATTTGTACATTGATGGCGTTTCATAGCTCCGTATCTACACTTTGATTTTCTTTTTTTTTTTTCATTTTTTGGTACATTTTTCCAAAGCAAAAACTTTTCTTGCATGAAAACTTATAAATGATTTTTTTTTTTTCAGATTTTTTTTTTTTTTTTTCCGTGTTTTAACTTTCATTTTGGAAACTGTGATGCATTTATTAAATTGTTATGATTCATAATTTTCATTAAAATTTTTATTTGTATTTCATTTTTTACAATTTTTAAAATTTTCAGAATTATTTGTGGATTTTTTACTTTCTTTTTTTCCGTAAATTATCATACATGTGAATTGTGATAAATATGTAATATGTTGTATCGTGCAATTGAGTGTTACAAAATTTTGATAAAAGATTTGTGATTTATTGCAAAATTCGAAGATGTCATGATCAGGAGTTGGAGAGGTGGTAATGGTAGTGTCAAGCCTTCTGACGAGCGGGACAGTGGTGGGTGGGAGTGAGACTAGGGGTGGCATGAGTGATGATATTGGGTGAAAGTATGGTTCCCCAGTAGATAATGACAGGCATGAAGTGAGATGTAACTTTTGCAGGTAAAGTTGTTAATGGCTGTGTTGCACGTAGTAAAGAGCATTTGGCTTCATACGAAAAGACATATGGCAGGATGTGGGAAAGTGGAGATGCGAGAAATAGATGATGAAACATTTTTTTTTTTTTTTGATAAATAAAGAGAATATTGAGAGCGTTCAATTGGGAAACACATCCCAAAAACAGTACAGAGAAGGTTGTAGGGACCCAAGGAACCCAAAAAATCCATGATTTTATCTAAAGATGTACAATTTCTCCCCATCACCCAACTAAAAATAGAAATAATAATAGTAAATTTCAGCACCCCAATGGAAGATTCCTCCCACTCAAAAGATCTTCCATTCTGCTCCTTCCAAAATGTTTCATTTTTGAAGGGGAGGAATCTTCAATCATCAGTTTAGTCGATTAGGCTAGATGACTGGGAGAAACAAAACAAAATCAAGAGTTGGCCAAAATAAGTTGAATTAGTAGTCATTGCTTCAATCGATTTCTGATTGAAAGGTGCCTTGCAGTGACTGAAATCTGTTTGGAAGAAAATGATATTGAGAAGGCAATTCAAACAGTTCCAAACTTCCATAGCAAGCTCACTCTTGAGTCTTTATGAAGAGGTGTTCAATACTTTATATATCATGCTCCGACAGCACAAGCATTTGCTCGCTAATACTAATCCCTTTCCTTTGATTTTATTACCAAATTAACTCTTTTGTACCGTCATATCAAGCATACTATCTTCAAATTAATAATAATTGATAGGAAAATGAGTCAAGTATTCGCAATTTCTTTCTCAAAACTTGGCTTGTAATGTATGCCAATGTTGTGAGTCGTTTGTCTACAACCTCAAAAGATGACGAAGATGGAGCTCAGTGAAGAACAAGCCCGAAATCTCTCAAGACTCAATCATATGGCTAGGTATGACCTAGCCACCTAGGTATGATCCCTAATAGGCTCAAAATATTTTTTTAATCTTGTTTATCAAAATTAGGTATTTGATAATATGATTTTCAAATTATTAATAATTATTAGGAATATGAGTCATGTGTTCGCAATTTCTTTCTCAAAACTTGCCTTGTAATGTATGCCAATGTTGTGAGTTCTACAACCTCAAAAGATGATGAAGATGGAGCTCAGCAAAGAACAAGCCTGAAATCTCTCAAGACTTAATCATATGGATGGGTATGAGACTGTATGACCTAGCCACCTCGGTATGATCCCTAATAGGCTCAAAATATTTTTAAATCTTGTTTGTCAAAATTAGGTATTTGATAATATGATTTTTAAAGTGAGCATCGAAAAAATGGTCCATCGATCAAAATTTTGCAGTAAAAATATTTTGAAATTCAGAATGCCTCAATCGACATGTTGACAATAGATGCTTCTTTAGTGATGCTCAGTTAATCAAACATGTGAACATGCTTTTATGGAAACTCTTTCAAATCAGAATTCTAAAAAGATTTTACTTACCATGCTACATGGGTATCTCTCTCACGGAACCTTTAAACTCTTTACATAATATTGAGGGAATTTGTATTTTCTGAGAGAGATTTGAGAATCAATTTAGGGCTCTTTATAGATTACCATACTATGTGTGACTGAGAGAATCAAAGCAAGCAGCAGAATTGAAATTATCCATCAGTTGAGTGGTTTGGAAAGAATAAGTTGAACAGACATTACTAGTTGTGGAGATCAGAAGTTAGTGGAGGAGCAAATTGAGTGTGGGGTCAGTCAGTAGATGGATCAAGGGCTGAGGATCTGGGGAGAGCTTGCGTAAGTCTGAGTCAGAAGGGACTAGGTGAGTCTTGATTTAGAATCTGGTAGCGTCTATAACCTCTTTCTCACAGGGAATTTTAAACATGTCTGGACTAGATCCCATGGATTTTCTTTCTAGGAATTTCTATATAAAAAATAGTGAAACTCTGCTTCATTTTATTTATTACTTTATGTGATTGAAACAAAGACATGCAGTAAACAAATTAAGAATTTTAAATAAGGACTAACAGTAATTCAAAAGTTAGTTACAACTTACAAATTCATATCCATAAGACCTATTCACCCCTTCTCCACATCTAATTCTATCACGACCAGCCCCATCCCCTGTAAATATTGCCCGCTTTGCACACTCTCCTTTCTGTGCTCATGGTTTTCAAAACATGTCTACACAGTTAAGGGGTGTCCACACATATAAGTCTCAGCAAAGTCTCTCCCAAGGAGATGTGGGACATCACAGTCACCCCCTCTTGGGACTAAAGTGTCCTCGCTAGCCTAACCCTCATGGGCTTGTGCATGCTTCCCACATTTCCGGCTAGAGATTGGCTCTGATACCATTTGTCACAGCCCACCCCAACCTGTGTAGATAGCACAATCTCCTCTTAGAGCTCACGGTTTTCCTCAAAATGCATCTACACAATTTTAAGGGGTGTCCACATATAAGTCTCAGCAAGTTCTCCCCACCACCAGGCGTTGTGGGACGTCACAAATCCACTGCTCGCACTCTGACATATCAGAGCCTTGGGTAACAGTCATTACAATCTTCCATTAGTAGTAGTAATAATAATAAAAAAAATTCTTAGCAGAACTACCACAAACTTTATTAGACTATAGCTGCAATGATGAAGTTCAAAACAAAATGTTGGTCCCAACCACAAGGGGTGTTGGAGGCTTGGTTCAAAAACAAACATAACATTTGACATTCTTTTGCAGAAAGTTATTAGAACTTTGTGTTCTCACACTTGCAAACCCAAACTTTCACCATTGAAACAAACGACGAACCCCCAAAACTCAAAGCACAAATTCTCCTTTTAAATATTATAATCCTACCAAAGCAATTTGGGAGGGTAAGCCACTTCAAACACCTTAAGTTTTTTACTTATGTTCTCCTCCTTGGTTGCATATATGGAGTGGGAGGAAGAAAATAAATAGCATGCGAAGTTTAACAACTTGTGTATTAAAACATATGCTTATATATTCAGCCAAATCATTACAACATCTGATTTAGAAAGTTCTAGGAATCTATAAAGGCTACTAATGCTTTATATACAGTTTTTAAATTTTTTTTTATGAGTTATATACAAATATTTTCAAAATACTATGTAGAACCGTGAAGGGAAAAAAGGCTAGGACTAATCCAACAATTCCCATCATCGCTATCCATTACCCACAATCCTGACACCCCATTAAGGACGACGTAGCGTTAACTTTTACTAAAAATATAAAAATTTAAGATCACCAAATAAAGCCAAACCATACAAGCACAAACCCAAAACATGCACAAACATTTTTCAATGGCATACACCTTTCGTGGAAAAGCAATTGTAAGTGGAAGTGGAAATACTGGAAATAAATGCAACAAAAAAGAGACGCACTTGCATAAGAAAAGTGGTCGTAAACCATCATTTGGCCCCGTCCTAAATCGAGTTCGCCTCTCATTTTCTTTGACAAACTTGCGTAGTGGAAGAACTTCACATTGGCCTTGAATCAAGTCCGCCATTATGGTGCAAGGATGATTAGACTCGTAGACCTACAGGACAGCAACAAGAAGTTCATATGAACTCTTTTTTTATGTATAACATGAACTTTCAGCTATAATGCAAATAAGGAAGGGGGTCAGAGCAGTTATGGAATCAACAGTGTGCATTCAATTATGTGTGCTTGGGTGAGTAATCTACTTAAATTATAAAAAATTAAAATAAAAAACTTCCCGTGAACCAATTTGGCCAGAGACCCGAGAGGTCTATTTTACGAGCCAGTTCGAATAATATCCTTGAACAAAATTGACCAATTTAATTATACTCCTATCCTAATATTTCTAAAATGTTTGACAATCTGCCTTGAGCAGGACAGAGCTTATAACGCATCCCTTGCCCAAAATTACAATTGCTCTAGTTTTGAAGTGTAATCTTGCAGGCATGCACATAAACAAGGAACATTAAATTACATGATACGTATAACAAATTTACCTCATTGCTTTCCGGGGCACAGGGGCAGCCAACAACTTCTGGCAAATCACCAGGAAAGTAGCACTGATTGACAATAACCCATTTTGATCTAGTTGTGCCATCCTCCCACATGGCCTGCAGCGGAAAGGCAAAAATTTTATATAAAATTACTAACATCACAGACTTCTCAACCAAAAACTGTTTCTCCTCAAGACAAAAAAGTTGAGTAATTCCTGTAAGAAGCTACAGAAATAATCTACAGCTTTTCAGTTTCACCATTAAAATTGGTGAGGAGTCAGATGAGGACAGCTTGACATGTCACAAGGACTAGCGTAGCCAAACAAACCACCTTTAACTCGTCACTTGGGTTCACAAGATTGCATCATAAACCCATGAGATTGGCAAGTCAATGCTAGTTTATGTAGGCTCAAGTAAACTTGAGTGCTCTGATGACTCTTATAAAACAAATCCAAACCAACCTGAAAATGGATGAAATTCAGTTTGGTTGGCAAGCTCGTTGAGAACTTGCCACCCTTAGCCGCAGGTTCTAACTAATTGATCAAGGAGATCTTTAATGTGTGAGCCTGTGAGGTATATTTTCACAAGAACAATTGCTTACCTGAATCTTAGAAGGCAACAATTTGTCATTGTTAGAACGAAAAAGAGCATGATCATGCACTTTATACACAGTGCCATCGATGCAACATGACTGGTAGTATGTCTTCCCATCCATAACTTGAAGGACATCACCAACCCACTCAACAACATGCAAGTCGTCTGATGACCTAGGCTCTCGAGCCCCATTACTGGATCCTGAAGTTTCAATAGAATTAACTTGTCCAACTCCATGCTCATCTTGCTTAATTTCACGATTTGAAGTGCAGTGAAGAGTTTCTCTACTATAAGATCTCTCCAAATCTTTAACCATAATGTTGTTTTCTTGACATTGGTCTGATGAAATTTCAGCACCGTCTGGCCCCCCTGCTTGATAATTATCTCGGAGGTTGTGAGAAGCTGGTGAGTGATCTAGTGTATTGGTAACTGTGTCAGGTGATGTTAATGGAGGTTGTATGTTTGCTTCAGAAACCAATTTCCCTTCTATTGATCTTTCATGTGAGGAGCCAGCGGGAGAAACAAAAGCAGCCTCCGAGGTCTTTATTACATCATTTCGACATGTTCCTGAACAAGGTTTGTCATCAATTTTTTCTCTACTTGATGAAATATCATTCCCTTGCATTTCTCTTGCATTTGGCATATTTGAACCAGTTGTTGAATGCTTATGGTTATTACGAACATTACCACTGGGAGCACTTTGTAAACCAGAATTTCCATTTGCTGTTTTATCTTGCTGATAGATCTTCTCACCTAAAGTTCCCATTTTATTATCTGGAAATGACTGCACAGCAGGTGTGTTAGAAGAAACTTTTGGTGCACTTATATTTCTTGTGACACGGCCATATTTAGGGGGCAAAGGTTTCCCACTGCTTAACGTCAAACAGTTCTGGCAGTGCCACTCTCCTTTAGGGATTCCTTTTTGATTGTGAGACTGAAGACATTTGAGATGAAATCCTTTCTCACAAGCATCGCAAACAAGTACGCTCTCCACCTCATTAATGGTAAGCTTGCACATTTGGCAAGTCACAGCCTTGTTCATGTAATCCCTAGAAGGAGGAGTCCATGTGGGTTGCTTCAGAATCTGTGATAGTAATAAATTATGAACAATTTTGCCAATTTCATTGTGGCTGTTGTAGGGTAAAGGAGCTTGAACAAAGTTCATGCCCTGCAAATGCTGATGTATTGTCGGCAGATTTCCAGATGCATTTTGAGTAATATGCGATTTGGATGTTTTTACTTGAGGGGCCACCAGCGTCAAACTTGAATCAGCAGTTCCCTGAACCTTAACAGAAGCATTTGCTGCCACCTTCACCTGTGTGTGATAATCCCCTGAAGTATTTGCTACAAATATATATATATAAATGTCTATGATCATTATAAAATCAACATAAATAATAAACTATTAAAAGCTAATGTAAAAATGTAGAGAAGATGATCATATAACAAGGCCAAGCTTCCAGAGAGAAAAAAATAAAAAAACCAAAGGACATGATGTTTTTGACTCAAATTAACTGTCCTAACAACCTTTTGAAACTTGCAATGTGGTATTACTGACCAGCCAAACAAGTCTTTTCAAGAAAATAATTATGCATGTAGAGAGTGAATTTTAAATTGAGGTGAGACCTGCTAACATAATGACGATGAGGACGATTTTAATGATGATGAGTTTCAGTACCATCAGATAAGCAAGAAGGGACTCTCAGCTGACAATAGTTTTCCTAGAAGGAGAATACCCTTCACACATGAATTTTCTGTCCTACTCTTTTCCAGATAGCATATCCTTGTCTTCCCCGTGGGACTTTTCCCATAAAAATCACAAAACATATCTTCCAACATTATGGGTGATTAAGAAAGCAAATGAAAGGTTACCTTGAACCGGCGATGTATAAGAACCATTTGATTTTCCATCCAATCTAAAATGTTCTCTGTCAACTCTAGGCAATGTTGACGATGAAGAGGATGAAGAATCCCTTCCTATATGAGTGGAAGGCAATCCACCGGATGCCACGGATGATTTTACTTGGCTGGCAGGCAACTGATATGTTAAAGATGTAGAATTTGCTGCAGGAACATGACCTAAAGGTGAAGCAGGATGGAGAGATCCAGAAGTATTTGATGCATGACTTTGTTTCTCTGATGAGGACATTCGAACAGTATGTGATTTCCCACGGCTTTCAGCCGCTACACTAGATTTCATTTGTAACCGCTGAGATAAATATGCAGCAGAATGTAAAGAAAATTCCTTAGATTTTTCCATCTGAAAGCATGAGTAAAAGACAGTTAAACATCAGTATGAATTTCAATTTGTGTCTCCAGTACTCCACATGAATCTTCCCTACTGGATATATTGCTCTAAATCCAGCCAAACAGTTCTTCAAATAAGTATATATAGCTTACCATAATTGCTAACAGTCTACATATTAATTCAGCTTCTGTGGACTCAATTGCAGAAATGAATTTCACTAACACTTCAATACTCCACATTGTAGAGTGAAAAATGACCAAAGTGAATATTAGTCAAAGAGTAACAAAAGCCAGTTCAAACCTCACCTTTTGCATTGCAATCGAACACTTCTCAGCAATCGACATCTTGGGAGGTAGAAATGCCAGCCTCTGTTCCTTCAACTTGTTGAGACCTAGATCCTCAATTATGCCCCCAAATTCCTCCCTCGGGAAAACATCCTTTGGCGCAAACATTCGACACACCTCCACCAACTTCCCCCTCGCCTCCTCCATCATCTCCTTCTCCGCCGCTGTAGGACTCCTCCCTGCCCTCATATTTCCCATCGCCGCCAACACCAGCACTATCTCCGCCACCTTCTTCATATCCCCAACCAATCCTCCACCAACTCTCGCCTTCTTTGGCAATGGAACATCCGATTCACCATCATTCCCGTTCTCCACCACTCTCTTTTCGCCGACCGCCGCTAAACCCTCAAATCTCGCCTTGCTGGATTCAAATTCCACCATCGAATCCATCTTGGAACAAACCCTAGGCCTTGCTCAGATAATAAATTCCATAAACCCAGTCCTCTCACCGTTTTCTGTGGAATTATACCTAAGAAAACCAGAGTTTCCTTTATAAACCTGCACAGGGGAGAGAGAGAAGAAGCCATGAGTAATAGAGAAACCCTAGAGAGAGAAATAGAGGGGAGGAATAGATAGAGAGAGGAGAGAGAAGGACGAGAGACGTTTAGATTTTTGAAATTACGCATTATTGATCCGTTAAATATATACCTTTTGCGCGGTTAATTGACGAGAGAGAGCTTTGCCTTTGCGTAAGTGAGGCCTTGTGGGAGAGGCGGGGTTGGGCAAACCGAGCAGAAGAATAGATAGAGAAAGAGAGTTTTTAGAGAGAGAAAAATAGGCTCTTTTTTCTCTATTACTGTTATAATAACGAGGGTTGCACTCTCCAGTCGTGCAACAAGTTTACGCACTTTCTCATTTTTACCCTCGTTAATGAATCCTTAATTCCAATAAAGTCTCTTTCTCATTTTTACACTGGTTTGTTTTTTTCTATATGCTTGGTTCCTAATTTATTTATTTTTTCCTTCTCTATTATTGTTTTTGCCATTACTTATTTGCACACATTTTAATTTTGTCTTTTGGGGACCCAATGAAGAAATTTAATATGTGACTTTTATTGTGTCAATATCAACTTATTTTCTTAATTCACCCATAATATATGTTATGGTGTATTCAACAAAAAAAACCAAATTTGATTTATTAAATGTGTTTATAATTTTGGTTTTTAAAGTAATATTATCTCTGTCTAAATTTTGTTTATACTTAAATTAGAGCATTTCGAGATGACTTAATCCAAGTATTAAAAGGAGAAAAAAATGGTTATACAATTTTTTTTTTTTTTTTAAACGAGACACAAGTTTACTTGGTCTTTCTATGGCCATGTATATGAAGGCGACGCCAATGCGAGTTGATTGGGATTCTATCTTAGAGCTAACTAGTTTCACCAATACCCACACGAATGGAATAACAACTTTAAGTTATTTATACATGCATCTACAATCATGTCATTATTTTCTTACTTATTTAATATTGTCGTTTACTATTTTAATTTATATTATTATATTAATATTTCATTATTGATATTATTGTGTGTTCAATTTTATATTATATTGCTGAAATATTTATGTTGTCAAATTCTTACTTATTCATTCACATTTTTTTAATTGATGTATTATTCAATTTAACAAAATAATTAATATTTAATTAGTCATTAATTTAATTGTTCTATTCCTTCCATCATTGTGTATGAATTAATTAAAATATTTTCTTTGTATAATTATATAAATTATGTTAAATTTTCACTACAGTCTAAAAAGATTGTAAGGGTTCAATGATGAATTGTGAGATTTCTCTCTCTTATTATGATCAGGAAACTGTCAGCTGGGAGTGTTCATAACTTCCAACTACTGAATTTCATATTTCACCCCTCGAGGTTATAGGTGCCACAAGAGGCGGACATCACAACTATTCAATTCTGTAGTTACGAAATTGACAAGGCCTATTTAAAATAGAATGAGTCACATGGTCAGGAGCAGTAAATATTTGGTTAAATTCAAAAAAGGAAAATTAGATGGATTTTTAATTTGTTGTAGTTGAGTTAAATTTTCTTAAATTTAGAAAAATAAGAATATATAGCAAAATTTACTAAAACAACCCCAAGCAACAGTCTCTCACACCTAAAGAGAAAAAGAGGTATTAATCCTTCTAGCGTGATTTGTAACAATTAACAAATATTATTTAAAGTAATTGATGTATATTAAATGATCGAAGACAGAATGTTTTATAATTTAAAGGATCTCAATAGTTTTTACAGAGATGTAATGTGATGTATATATATATATAATACATATACAATTTGATATACATAGCGATTAAAACTTTAATTACTAACGAATATACTTAGATTAAAATGAAACTTAAAAAAGGGACTATAACTTTCTAAATAGTTAATTACTTTATATTTTACTATAGGTCCCATTATATTTGGAGTACAGCTTTTTAGCTCGATAAATATGTTTGAAAATGAAAAAGAAGATAATACAACTATAAATGAAAACGAAAAACAAGAAAAAGAAGATAATACAACTGTAAATGGAAAATTAAAAAGATAAGGAAATAGGCTATGAAAAACTAAAAAATAAGGAATGGAGAGAGATGTATTTTATGGAAACAAATAAAAGTAGTAATGATACCTATTTATGTTGAAATTTTAGAATAACCACGTCATATTTTATCTATATCGCTTTTAAGTCGGGCATTAAAGTCGATCGAAGTATTTGGCTGAGTCTACGTGGTTATCCACATGACAATTTAGGTAGATTAGTAAGGCAGAGTCTACTGTCACGTAACAATTTAGTTGCTGTGGAGGGAAAAAAACTCCCTCCAATAAAAAACGCACACGTCACCACTACCCATATCTACAGGCCAAGGACATATAAGGCCCATCATGCTCAAGCCCAAGTTGAGGGTATTTACAGCCCAAGACCATTCCATCAAGGCCGACTCAAGAAGCCATCAGCCCAGCTTGTCGTCAGCCCAGATATGAGTATTTAACATCCGGCCTGTTACCCAAGCCCAGCCGGATCAAAATATATTCAGCCTAAAAATGCACAAATCCTACCATTTGAAGAATTTACCTAGAAGGAAAATTCGGATAGGAAGTTCTGTACAAGGCAAGTTCTATGTATGGAAAATTCAACAATGGAAAGAACTCTTTTAGAAAAGTATGGTTATATAGAAAGAATTGGAGGGCAAGCAACGCGAGTCCTACCATAATTTTGCAATCTTTTGTATATAAATAGAGGCTAAGACCTCCAATAAAGGATCAAGCAATTCCACACTTCTTTACACATTGTTCTTATTTATTTTTATTGTTTTTGAGTGAGTTGTTTTATTTTTCTCAGTCATTATTGGTTGAGCGAAATTTTGCACCTACACTTTGGCGCCGTCTGTGGGAACCGTATAGAAATATACTCCCACTTGTTCTTCAAATTAAATCCTTTAATCGTGTCTGGAATGTCAAACGGAAAGTCAGTAATGAATCAACAGATAGAATTGATGCAAAAGATGCGAGAAGAGTTCTTGCACCAATTTGAGACACTCCGGCAAGCAAACGATACGAGTGTCGCCCAGATAGCTGCGCTTCAGCAGCAGACTCATACGCTGCACACGGCCATGGCCAGGCTAACGCCACAACCACCACCAGGCGATGCTGCGGCACCACCTCCCACCCGGAATTTACCTCCGGTTCACGAGCCTCCAGCCAACGAGACACCACCCAACGGGGCTCGACCTAGTGAGGTTCAGCAAAAGCAAGGGACGAGGTCCGAGGCGGTTGCTTCGGATAATCTCCCGTATCGCACTCAGGACGAACAGGCCGAGTCCAGCCGTAGGCTTACGGTATGGTCCAATGGCGTTCCGGATGGCGCACGTGTACAAGATGCCTTCGACGAAAAGAAGCTCTTGAGAGTCCAGACACCAGCCGAGATGGCTAGAGAGCACAAGAATTCCTTGGTCAAGACCCCCTTTACTGACGAGGTGTACCTTGTGGAGAGGCCGAAGAAGTTCACTATGCCATCCTTCACCCAGTTCGATGGGGCAAGAGACCCCTCTCGGCATCTTGATCATTATGCGCAAAAGATGGCACTGGACGATCATAATGATCCGTGGATGTGTAAGGTTTTTCCTACCAGTTTAACCGGAGCAGCGTTAGAATGGTTCAGGAATAGGCCACACAAGTCTATCCCTGACTATGAGACCTTGTGCACCATGTTCTTAGCCCAGTATTGCGGAAATAAGAAGCAGAAGAAAAGTATCGCCAGCCTTTTCACCATAAGGCAAAGGAAGGGAGAAACTTTGCAAGATTTTTTATCCAGGTTTAACATGGAGGCCTCGGAGATAGCAGATTGCCATCCTGCCACGGCAATCGAAACTTTTAAGTTGGCGATGATCCAGGGAACCAAGTTTCACACATCCTTAGTCAAATATTCCCCCCCGGATATGCAGACTTTGAACGCTAGGGCACAAATCTACATCCGGTTGGAGGAAAACGTAGCCTACCGTGCACAGCACGCTACCCTCATCACGGTGGAAAACAAGTCTCGAGAGAAAGCTGCGAGCACAAGGATGCAGAAGGTCCCTCATACCGCCACACAAGTCACCCAAGCGTCTGAGAAAAGGCGAAGGACAGAGGACAGGCTTACCCCTCTCCGTACTACCTTGGCGCGCCTATTCCAAGAGAATAAGACGAGGTTCGCAACTCCTCAGCCCATGAAGCAACCCTTGGAGCAGAGGGACAAAAGCAAACATTGTGCCTACCATAGAGATTATGGGCATACCACCAATGACTGCAGGTCCCTACAGCGACAAGTAGAAAGCATGATAGCGAGAGGAGAATTGGTGGAGTATCTCGCCACAAAGGAGCACGTAAGACCTCGGGAGGTTAACCCTCGACGGGTAGAGAGCGGTCAGGTAAAGGTTATCCATGCCATACACGGAAGGTCAGAGGATGATGAAGAATCTGAAGAGTTGTACAGATCCAGGCTGCGAGAGGCTCATAAGTTACGCAGGTTGTCTTCGATAAACACAGTTGCACCAGGCAGCATCAACATTGGATTCGGTAACAATGACCTTTCTAGAGTCCAGCGCCCGCATGAGGACCCCTTGGTCATCAGCCTCCTGGTAGCGAATTACATGATCAGAAGAGTGCTGGTAGATCCGGGAAGTAGCGCCAACATCATTACAAAAACAGCTTTTGATCAGTTGGGGATTTCACCATCATCCATCAGGCCAACTTCCGGCCCCCTAATGGGATTTGATGGTACTAAGGTGAATCCGCTTGGAGTGGTCGATCTATCCGTTACTGCAGCAAAGAGAACTCTAAAGGAAAACTTCGTCGTGACAGAGATTCATCCATCTTATAACCTCATTATGGGAAGAGGTTGGATCCATCGTATGAATGGAGTCCCTTCTACACTTCATCAGGTAATGAGGTGTTTATCCCCGGATGGCAGGGAGGTCATCGACCTCTGGGGAGACCAGGTTGCTGCCAAAGAATGTTATATGCTAACGCTACACGAGGCAAAGAAAGCATCGAAATCACCTCAGTCAGAGGCGAATCCCAAAGACGCAATCAAATAGCAGCTACAGTATCCTCTGCCCAAGTATCTCAAGGCAGAGGAAGAAGCCGAAGTTGAGGCACCTACCGAGGAGTCCCTCGAAGCTGTAGAGGTAGTCCTCGGAGACCCTCAGAAGATCACCTACATTGGCTCATCTTGCACAGCCGAAGAGAAGGAAGCATTGATCAGGGTTATTCGGTGCAATTCGGATGTCTTTGCCTG